ATTTAGTACTTTTTCTGCAATGAATATTGCATATTCATTGCAGAAAAAGTACTAAATGGATGAGAGGCGCTATTTAGCACGTTTTAAAGACCAAATCCTTTTAGCACGCTGTTGATAGATCAGTTTGTACATTTTTTAGCGTGCGCAGTGAAATAGCTCACGTTTTAATACACGCAAACCTTTGATAGATCCGGCCCATAGTGTAGAGCGGATGTAGATTTGACCAATCAGAGGCCTCCTGTCTGCAGCACTGTCTGCACTCACCTACAATTTTGGAAAGGTGCAGCAGTGTCACACACACAGACGACCTGGTTTCTTTTTTTTTTTACACAGTGTCTGGCAATGTGACAATAACAATAATTGTCTTGATGCCAAAAAGAGCCCAGCAGATTTTACTTTCACTTTACTTTCATGCATATAAATAAATAATAGCTTTATTATAATTATGCAGAGAGTTTTACAGTTTATATGGACACTGCAATGTAAATAGAGCAGAAAAAGAAAAAAAAAGAGAAAAGATCAAAGAAAGAAGAGATAGAAAGGAGATAATGACAACCTGGTTTCTGAGTAGAAATCAGCCTTTATTTCATTATTTTTCGTGCCCCCATGAAAACACGCCGGTCCCCTCTTGGCCCCCTGATATATTTCGTCTAGAACCGCCACTGATCCTGTGTGTGTGCATGCGGAATCACGCCGCTCGCCATCTCTCACATGTATTAAATCCTCAAGCAATTATCAGGCAGCAGCGGTTATACTCCCTGCCTCCCTGCACATACCTCTAGAAGTATATATAGAAACTAAGGGAATGGGACTTGTTTGGCCGGAATATTTTAATGGTTCCACTACAGCGCTCAGGTCCAGTATCCCAGTCCACATAACTCAGCGAAGTGACAAACCCTCCCAGGGGAGTGTTGGTGTGGAGAGCGAGAGGTGGGGGATGGAAATGAGAGGTTGGGTGGATGTTAGTCGCGTTCTAGAGTCAATATCAGTTCTTTATTCTAGCTTCTGTTGAGATGTTCCAGCTATTAGAGCTCTGAATGCAAAGCAGTCTGAGATCAAGCTGAGGAGAAACCCTCCTCTCCTCTGCTGCCGGGTTTTCCTCAAACGAAGGGAAGGCTGCAGCAGAAGCCACGCTGTCGAAGTTACTCAGATAATTAAAGCACTATTATGGCAGCCAACAGTGTTTTGCATCCTCTGCTTCCTGACGTTCACCCATGCCACCGCAGCTGTGCCGTTTAATTGGATAAAGCGGGCAGGTTTGTTGGTGTTGCCGTGTGAGGTCATGTCACTGTTCTTCTCTCCTCCTCGGATCTCTCTGTTTGCTGTTTCCTGACGCCTCACTAACTGCCTCTAATTAATCTGGCTGCTTACAACTCGACTCCACTGCCGCCGCCGCTGCTGCTGCTCACCACCTCCTGTCTTCTCACCTCTTTCTTCCTTTTCTCCCCCCCCCTTCTGTGTGTGTGTGTGTCTTTTCTTCTCTACCTGTGGCTAACGTGGCGCTCTCAGGGCTTTGGGTTTGTAACTTTTGAAACAAGCACAGACGCTGATCGTGCACGGGAGAAACTAAATGGTACAATCGTAGAGGGACGCAAAATCGAGGTGCTTCCATTTTTCCCCTTTTTTTCCCTCCTTTCCTGCCTGCTGTGTTCTTGGTTTCCCTGCATATCAAAGCAAAAGCATGCGGCTAGCGTTTGTGTGTGGATCTGGTTGCATGCATGCATAATGGTGCGTGTAATCCGTTCTCAGTAGAATATGGAATCCATACATGTCCACCTGGACAAGTTGTCCATCATCACCTGACAAAGCAGGATGAATGCATGCTGTCTCCCTCTGGGGTCCTATTGAATCTCAGACAACCTGCATTTCCTGGTTGCCTTCGTTTGCTGCAGCTTGCTTCGAGTTATAGTTTTGTTTATAAAACAGTCGCTCCCATCAGGTCAGTGGGAGCAAACCAGTTTATTTTTCCTTTTTTGTGGCACATATTCGGTTCTTCAATCACTCCATAAAACTGGAAGAAGATCCCTTTTTCTCAAACATGTAGATGTTGCATGCTCTCCTTTGTTTTTGTTGGTTGATTTTAAAGCAGCAGGTATGTCTGTGATGGAACGAACCGTTTACAGTCCTGTGAAGCAGCTTTTCTCCCAAGGATTTCTGCTCTTTTTTGTTTTTTTTTTGTCCAACAAAAGTGTTTCAGATCAAACTTATTTTAAAACCAGACTAAAAGAAATCCAATAAAAAACAATCCACTGGATTTTTTTCCATGTTTGAAGACGTTTCTCTTCCCATCTAGGAAGCTTTTTCAATTCAAAATGTCAGAAATAACATAAAGTTTGAGGCTTTATAGAGTGGACCAAAAACAAAGCCTTGTTTTGGCTTAGAAAACATGTAAATTGAAAACTGGACAAACAGGTCCGCCCCTTGTTAGCCTGTAATACCTGATACCTGTCTACGCTCTTTCTGACATTTTGAATTGAAAAAGCTTCCTGGAAGGGAAGCAAAATGTCTTCAAACTCGCAAACAAAATCCAGTAGATTGTTTTTTAACTTTTTAAAAAACTTTTTTAAAATAGTTTGTCTGATGTTTAGAGTCTGTTGATGATCTGAAACATTTAAAAAGTCCAAACAGGAGAAATCTGTAGACCTGCACAACCCTCCTTTTATTTTGAGAATGTGTTTCAGTTGGTTTTTGGTTTGCTGCTTTCTCGTGGCCCAGTCTGAATGTTTGGCTTGTGTTGTTAACATTTGTAAACACTCACTGTGTCCCCTCCTGCTTTAAACAGGTGAACAATGCAACCGCACGAGTGATGACAAACAAAAAAGTGGCCAACCCTTACACAAACGGTGAGTGCCGAGCCGAGCGCTGCCTGCTAATCGAGCTCCCGTTAAGCCGAGGTCTAAGTGGACTTTCTTCTTTGTTTCCAGGCTGGAAGCTGAACCCAGTGGTGGGAGCTGTCTATGGTCCTGAACTGTATGCCGGTACGACTGCTTTTCTCATTTCTCCCGGTACCTTTTTTCCGCCACACGCCAGAGTCCGCTATCGGCCGCAGCCAATCCCAATCTGACCCCCTGAATTTCCACAATCAGGTTCATCCTGAACCGAGTGAACATAAAATTCGCCGTAAATCAAAGTGGATCCGATAAGCAGTGGATGATCCAAGCTTCTCTGAGTGGCTGAGGGAGCCTGAGCCATTGTTTGCACAGTGTGCAACTGTAAAGCTAAAAAAAAAAAATGATTTCAAGAGCAAGCGCCTCTGCAACTGTTATCAGATTGTGGAGGCTGCTGCTGTGGATGGATTTGCCAAGTGCACCAGATTGACTTTTACAGAGCTAACCGAATAAGGGAGATTGAGTGAGAGATATTGTTGGCACCCACCCTGTCGAAGGCCGCTATTCCTTCTGGTCTCAGTAATGGAGGAACGAGATGAGCTCAGTGGGGTTTTCCCTATCTCTCTCTGCCTCGACATGCCAGCTTTATTGCTGTATGTTATATGAACCCTTTGCATTTTAATGAGGGGGAAATGGTACTATTTCATTTGGAAGAAGTGCTGAGCACATCTCGCCACTTTAACGGCTTTCCTTTCTGCTCATTAGACTAAAATCTGTTCATTCCCCGGACAGCTTTACGGCGAACCTCTAAATAACTGTCCATGACAGAAAGCAGTCATCTATCATTTTTATTTCAGCCCCAACCCCTTACCCTCATCCAAGCCTCCTCCCCTGCTTCCCACTAACCTCCCCCCCCCTCGGCACTCCTTTCATTTCAACATCTTCCTCTGCTAATTATTTATGCACACAAACATGTTCGCCTCCGAGTGTAGCTCTTTTAACAGCATCAAACACATTCACTTTGACGCCATCAGAAGGAATTTTCTCCAAAACTAAAAGATACGGACATTATATAAGTCTGAACTTCGGCAAACAATCGTGTTCCCGCCCCTACGTGCGCACTCGGAGCTCCACCACCTGCCCTGTTTTCTTACACTCAGACCAAAGCATAGCAGCCTACAGAAATAGATAACCTATGTAGAACACAGACACTAATACACGTCTCTTCTTTCATGCACGCTTCCTCCATGTTCCTCACACACACACTTCCCAAATCATCTCATAAATCAGAGGGAGTGTGGTCCACCACTCCAGGCAGGGGAAGCAGGAGGGGCTGCGTGATTTATTGGCTGCTAATTTTTCAAGTCGTCTTGACATGGCGCTGGAGTTTGCCAAGCCTAAACGACAACATATGCTTGCCAGCTGGGAAGATGGGAAACATAAATAAAGAGATACATTTTTGAAACCAAACCATCCCTAATATGCAGGAAACTGCTTCTTTTATAAAAGAAAGAACAATCCAACCCTATCGAGGACATTCCAATGTTACAGGTTTGGGAAAACCATAAAATCCTGCCGCAGATTTTTCCCAAATCTTCACCATTATGGTTTTTGCGGGGAGAGTTAAAATGGTATATAAAGCCGATTAATCACTGTTTATCAGTCCTCATTTCTGTGCAGGAGATCAGTGAAATTGGGAGCCATAAATCGTGGCTGGGTGACAGCACACTTCGTCTCCATTCGTCCTGGCGCTACAGGTTTATTGTCCTCAAAACCCATTCAGGAGAATGACGGATGAGAGCCTTACGCCAGCTCCCCGCTCTTAACCTCTTCCAGGGTAGATTGGCTCCTCCTCCTGATGGGGGGAGGGGAGCAGGAAAGGACCCGGTGGGGTCTGCAGCAATGCCCCCCCCTCCTTCCCCGGCTCCGTATCCTCCTCAAACTGAGGGCTCCCAATTAAACCAAGAGAGCTGGCAATAAAAGTTAGCGCTGGCACAAATTATGGTGTGCAGTAGCTGGTAGGCAAACAATAACTGTGCTTACCTCTCTCCTGTTTTAATGTGCACTAATGTGATTTTAAACTCCATAATTTATGCAGAATGGACTCAAATGGCCTCACATGAACACATGGGTGTGGTAGCGATGTGAAGCCCTGATTCATGCCCTCTGTTAAAGGAAATTATTAATTATGTGAGCTATACAGCGGTTTGATTTTATTATTCATCGAAATAAATCCGATGCAGGTGTTAGAATTGCATAAAACAGGAAAAAAATAAAGATTAGAATAACTAAAAGAACTCCTCTGAGGTAGATCTGCATTCAGCGTGCATTGCGCCGTTTAGCTCATAGTGGTATAATTGGCAAACTTTTCTTCATTACTGGTGTTGGAGGCTTTCAGCGCCACAGACAGCTGTCACTTAGACCCGCCATCGTATGGCCGCCCCCTCAGGCTACCACTCAGAGGCTCTTCTCTGCAGCTAATTCCAACAGAGACAGGAGATGAGTGGCTTTTCACTCACCAATTCAGATTTTCACTCACTAAGGTGGAGTCTTTTCTTGAGGACTTGTGGAAAACCTACCAGCTGTGTAAATGACAGAAAAGAAAGGCTAATTGCCGTCTTAATATATGTAGACAGATCCTCTCATTGTTGGAGTGTACTTTAGGGGGATAATTAAGCTCCAGACTCTTGATTAGATTAAGCTGTTTTTGGTCCCCAGCGCGTGGATTAAATGCTCATGTATTTGAGCAGGAAGTATTAGAGAGATCAACCTTGTGGAAAATCAGATCTTTCTTTATGAGAGCCGGTTATGACCCCATCACTGGATTACCCCGGGTCCAACTTGGCTCTGCAGGTATTGAGCTTCTCTCAGGTTGACAACGTATGACATATGAGGTGCGGCTTGACCCTGCCGCCCTCCGGCACATAACTCATATTTTCTGCGGCGCCCCTCCCCGGAAAAAGGTGTTTGACTTTGGTGGCTCCGCCGGGTTTGTGCTCCCTCCGTACGCGGCGGCGGCTGTTGTTGCTTTTCACGCGCTCACCAAGGTGTGACAGTGTCTTTGATTTATGGGTTATTATTGAAGCAGTGTAGCCTATCGCCAACTCATTATGAGTTTACGTTCACATACATCACCGCATGCAGATCGCATACAAATTTTAGAAAAGAAAAAAAAAAAGAAAGGAAGAAGCATAATTTATTTTTCTTTAGGGGGGTGGACTTCAGAAGGAGGGTTGTTTGTGCCCTTTAGCAACTGCATTTTCGGACACCCTCCCCTCCCCTAATTTAAATGCCAAGGTCAGAGCTATAAATCACTTTTGGGGGGAAATCGGGCACAGGTTGGTACAGTGGCAGCAAACAAAGCGCCTTGTGCGTTGGTGAGGGAGGTCACCTGACCCAAAGAGATGCGAAGTTTGGATATATCCACTAATGGAGCGAGTTGTTAATGATTGCAGACGTTATAGACGTTTTCAAAAACAAAGCTAATCCCTCTCCCCGTCAGTGCGTCCAGTGGCTGCGGGGCTAACGCCACAAACATAGCACAAGTTTTTATTCTTTTAGATGCTATTTACCTGTGAGATCAGACCCGGTTAATAGAACAAATACTCTGGAAATACGTAAAGAAGAATAAGGTGAGGCGAGGATGACAAAGGGGCATTTTGCGGAGGATGAAGAATAATGGCGGTGACTGTTTTTTGATAGACTCTGCTGTGGGGGGGATGGTTGCGGAGGTGTTAGGGAATTACAATCGCAGGAAGAGTGGAGGCCACCTTAATCATTTCTGGAGATCGGTGTGTTTGTATGCACCCCTGCAGGGCTGTAATCAGACAGCCTCTGTGCTGATTGAAGGTTAAATGGAGACCTGAAGTTCCCATTAGCTGTCCTCTAATCTCACCGTGACCGTTTTGTCACAACAACCTTTGTCTCCCCACCCCCATTTTCCAACCACCTGAAACCCATCAGCGTCAGAGATCGCCTGATTGTTGATCAGCAGCCTCCTCAAATTCATCTCCTGAGTTCGGGCTCTACCTCAGGCCTCCCACTCTTCAATTCTACTCCAAACTGTGCGAAAGCCGTGGTGCGAAACTAGTGGTACTGCATCCATTAGTCGCCCGGACTTCAAGGCTGCCCCTCGCCAGGCATCAGGGAAGAATGCGTACAGCAAATGTGGATCCTTGCTGAGTACGACACAAAGCAGTGAGCTGGGAAAGGGTAGAGTGCTCGATGAGGCGCACCTAGAAAAGATTAAATCTATTGTTTCCTTGTCTTCCACATAATGCATTCTGTCATAGGGAAAGCAGAGCCACACGTCTCTCTCTAATGTATTCTGTCATAAGGTAAGCAATGCCAAGCTGAAGATGTTCTCTGAAAGCCATTTTCTCTCCCTTTTCCTCTGCAGTAACAGGGTTCCCCTACCCTGCCACAGGCGCTACGGTGGCCTACAGGGGTGCCCACTTGCGGGGAAGGGGACGAGCTGTTTACAACACGTTCCGCACGGCTCCACCACCTCCACCGATCCCTGCTTATGGAGCGTGAGTATTTCCTCTTTACCCTTGGAATAAACGTATCAAATTTGACCACCCATTTATACCTTTTAATTTCAACGATTCAAGCTTCAAATTTTGCATTAAATCAATCACAAAAATACTGAGATCTTATCTTAAAGCTTTTGTTAGCGTGAGGCAGAGATGGTGTTACAATTCTACAAGATTTAGTCAGCGGGTTTAGGAAGGAAATCTGTGTTCACAGCATTATTAGAGAAATGTTAGAGGAAGGACAAATGCATGGAGCGAAGATAACTGCTCATATTTAGAAAAGTCCTCTTCAGTAAGAGGGCCGGGTCACAAGGCTTAATGGAACTATCTGGAAAATTTGGACTTTTTCTTTTGTAAGACCTCTAGAACTGGACAAAGTTATGTTGAATGTACAGTGAGGTGGAAAGGGAACCAGAGCAGCTGGATTTGAAGGGTTGAATGTGAAAAAACAAGACAGCTGCTACAGTACTAGCCATTCAAAATTTCCCCACTTTCCTTGAGGGGCTCTTGGCTTTTCCTTGGCTGATCCTTGGCTTTTCCTTGGCTGGTCCTTGGCTGTTCCTTAGCTGATCCTTGGCTGACCCTTGGCTGTTCCTTAGTTGGTCCTTGGCTGGTCCTTGGCTGGCCCTTGGCTGATCCTTGGCTCGTCCTTGGCTGATCCTTGGCTGATCCTTGGCTGGCCCTTGGCTAATTCTTGGCTGGCCCTTCGCTGTTCCTTGGCTGATCTTTGGCTGGCCCTTGGCTGTTCCTTGGCTGTTCCTAGGCTGGCCATTGGCTGGCCCTTGGCTGATCCTTGGATGGTCCTTGGCTGGCCCTTGGCTGATCCTTGGCTGATCCTTGGCTGGCCCTTGGCTAATTCTTGGCTGGCCCTTGGCTGTTCCTTGGCTGGTCCTTGGCTAAACTTTGGCTGGCCCTTGGCTGATCCTAGGCTGGCCCTTGGCTGGTCCTTGGCTGGCCATTGGCTGGCCCTTGGCTGATCCTTGGATGGTCCTTGGCTGGCCCTTGGCTGATCCTTGGCTGGCCCTTGGCTGATTCTTGGCTGGCCCTTGGCTGATCCTTGGCTGATTATTGGCTGGCCCTTGGCTGGTCCTTGGCTGGTCCCCTACAATTCCTTCTTAAACATCAATATTTGCCCTAAATTATTCTTTCTTTCATGATTTGTGGACATTAAGATCTAAAGAGAGGCGTCATCTTCTGGTCAGACCCTGTAATTCAGTGAAAGGATAGAGTCAGAGTAACAAAAATATGTAAGAGGGGGGTCACTCCAGTGGCTGGAAGTTGGAGTGGATTTTGCTGGGAGTTGGAGGGAAGTTAGCTGTCATTCAGTTGGTGTTTGACTGTATGAAAACGGTTTAGTTCCTCAGAGCATTTGTCCAAAGATGGTCATAAATATATACTTGCTTAGCTGAAACCTGTGTTTGTGCAAAACATCGTATTTTAGTGTTCAAATGTAATATTGTGACTCTTAGAGAAATTGAATCCCTTTTTCAGTAGCTCTGCCTCTTCCTCCATGCGGGTCCAGGTTTTTCTTCTGGTATAGTTGGTGCTTTTGACAGTAGCAGAGTCAGAGTGGGTAGCATCAGCATGGGTTCTGATCTCTTGCCTCTCACTCTGTTCGGACAAAGGCCAGCCCCCCTATGATCAGATCAGGGTTAGTCTTGCTGTAGAGAGACTCGCTGCTGAAACCAGGACCAGAAACCCCACGGTCCCCTCCCTGCTTCTCTAAGGGCCCCTCGGTGCCGATGGCAGCTGGTTGATTTATACTTCAGAGTCACGTGACGAAGCTGCCTTCACTGCTTTCTATTGTCCTTCGCTCCTCTCTCCTGACAACAACTGCAGAAACTGGAAAGACAAACAACTTTAGCCGAGCAGAAAATTGGACAGGGATTTGAAACGGTTGCACCTTTCAGTTTAATGTGTCATTCGTTATTTGTGGTACAGCGAGCTGAAGCTGCCAGAAATCTGACCTCACCCAAGATGCAGGCGGTGAACGCTGGAGGAGAAAGGCCACGGTGTTATGTCAGACCAGCGTACCCGGTCAGACCAGCATACCCATAGTCAATACCCGTTTATTCCTTTAGTTTTGTACGAAAAATAAACTTTAAACTACCTCAACGGGCGAGTATCCCTTTAGTCATGTACAAAAATTATTTAATTACTTTGTGTTTTTTTAGAAGCGTATGTCAATCTGACCTTAAATGGATTTTTTTTATACATGACTAAAGGGATAAACAGCCATTGAGAGAGTTAAAAGTTAATAATCTTGCGCATGCGTATTGATTATAGGCATGCTGATCCGACGGGGTACGCTGATCTGACAGAACAACGTCCGAGGATTCGGCGCGATGCAAAGCCAACTAACTATTGTTTCCTATTTTATGGCTTCACAGGGTGGTGTACCAAGATGGCTTCTACGGAGCAGAGATCTATGTGAGTATGGCTGGTTTTCCTCCTGACTGCTCGTTTGAAAGAGAAGTAAAGCAGACACAGGACTCGGCCCTGGAGACGAAAACGTGATCTCCTCCCCCCCGGCTCTCACCCAGCGTCGCTGCCAAGCCGGCGTCGATTAGGCCTCAGTCTGCCGTGCCAAGAAACCCGACAACAAAATTTAAAACCCCCTCAGCTCCTCCCTCCTCTGATCTCAGACTTTGGCAAAGAGGTGGACCCTGACTCAGTGTCCCTTGTCAAGTTAGGTCATTTACTCCTTCAGATTTGTCTGCGTTTCTCCTGTCCTGTTCGTTGCTCATTCAAAGGGCTTGGCTGGGATATCCCTGCCTGTCCTGGGGGAGGAGGGGTGTCTACGTCGGTCTGAGTGGAGCCAGTCTCCCCCCCCCCAGCAATCACCGTGGGGGAGATAAGAGGAGCAGCAGATAAAGGGATTTGCCATCCCTCCGGATCTGTCCGTGCAGGCGGGGTCGCATCAGAGGCAGGCCGCCCCAACACAGAGGAGCAAGGAGGCTGTGGAGATAATGCTGAAATTACCACATTGCCCCCACTTTGACATCAGTCCAAACGTCTGTGTGTGGGAGGAGAGGGGGGGTGTAATTTGTCCCTTTGATTTTCCTCTCTCTGCCGAGATGACAGTGAGCACGGCGGCGCTGACAGCTGCTTCTCACTTTCGCCCCGACCAGGACCGGTGTCTGGGAATGAAATGCTAAACCCGGTGTGATAGATGACTTTCACACCAGCCCACATGATAGGACCGTATTTCACTGACTTTTATTGCACAGACACCCACCGCCATAGAAGAGAGCTGGGCTGTGGTCTGAGTGATGTTCAGCCTCCACTCACAGACTCTGTGTAAGCTAACTGAGGCCTGGAAGGTTGATCCATCTTCCCAATCCAAGACACCACTGCCATTCCCTTCGGCCATGACCACTGCAGTGCTTCAGACTGCCTCGGTGTGCGTAGAGTCTCTGGTGACCAACAGGAAGCCGTCCCTTAGCGCCTTAGTGTCCTCAACTGTCATCCAGCCGATGCCACAATGTTGTCAGAACCAAACATGCACATATAAACATGCATCACCCAGGATATGTATGTGCTAATACATATGCATGCTGCTCCTTGTGGAAACGCACCAGTACACTTGTGCACGATTGCGCCGACGTGACAAAATAACAAATGTGTAGCAGCGCCGTGTGCAGGACTTGACAATGCAGTGATTTATCGGCCACTGTTTGTTCGGGCTGTTGCCGTAATCAGGGCGGTCCCAAGGCAGACTCTGTCCCACAGGAAGTCATCCGCTTCATCTGCCACGACTTCCTGCACCCCCTCCCTGGAAAACGACGGAAAGGGAGCTAGAATAGATTTTCAGCCGCAGAACTTTCACGGACGGCTTTAAAAATGAATGAAAAGGTGCATTATTAAAAGGCAGCTATCCGGCGTATGGACACAGATGGGCAGACGCTCGGGTGGCACTAATAGAAAAACAGTGGGGGAACACCTTCATTTTTCAAAGAGAGTAATAGCAGCACTCTACAATCAGGTCTTTAATTCCTTCCCCACTCTGGCAAATGAATACAGCAGTCCTGACTCCCCAACGGTTCAAACATCTCCCTTCATTTGTGAGACGAGGGGTCGCAGTAAAGGGAAAGCTGCAGAAAGTCGGCTAAAAATGGGCAGCAATTGGGGGCTCTGCTTCTCCGCCGTGCTGTTGCTGCTCCAACAGGCTTGTAGTGCGACAATAAGTTGCTCCCCAAACGTGCTGCTTCCTCAGATCATCACTCATTCCCCTAATGCCACCTCCTGCTGCATGCACCATATATCAAACAGCACCCTCTGGTGTCTCTGAGGGAACCTGCAGCTCAAAGGTGTGGGCTCAGGACCAAAACACTGTGCAGTGACATTTAAAGCTCTGAGTCTGTATTGTTGTTTGCTTGTGTATCTGAGTTCTAACCTTTCTCTGCGCAGGTTGTGCTTAATCACTAATTAATACTTTGGTATTTTAACAGGGTGGCTATGCAGCATACAGATTTGCCCAACCCACCACCACCGCTGCTTACAGTGACAGGTGAGAACCCCTCCCAGGCAGTAAACACTCCACTTTCTTACTGTTTAAAGAAGTTGCTATAGTCTAGATCACAGAGGTGTTTCCGACTAATTTAACCACTTAGTACCTGGTCTGTACTGCCTGTGGCATGTTTTAATTTCTTCATCCTAAAATTACTTTACAGTCACTTACAGCTGCATACACAGCTTTTTTTTCTCCTTGAGAAAATGATCAAACTTGTCAAATTATGTCACCTATTATCATAAACAGTCAATAATTAGAAAAATTAGTTTGCTTGGAAATGTCCCACAGTTGTCTGGTCCATTCATGCGTAGCCTTGTTTTGATTGAACAAAAAGAAAATAACAATTCCTGTGAAAAAAGTCTTCTTTCAAAATTCAGAAATGAAAACTTACGTTTTTTCTTACAAAAATATAAAAATACAACAGAGTTTTTGGCCAACAGTGGCAAATCAAATCAAAGTTTGGCTGCACGTAGGTCGAGCCGAGTAAAAAATGCTTCTCTTTCTACCTCTTATGCACATATCTGAGTCTTCAATCAGTAGCCTTACCTTATAAAGAAAACTTTCAACCAAACTGTCTGAATGATTTACAGTAACTGCCATTCAATATGGCCGTTTCCAGTCAAACGCCAGCCGAATGGAGGCAGACACCTCTGCAACTCCCAGCAAATTCCCCTCCAACATCCAGCCACTTGAGTGACTCTAACTCCACCCTTTCACTGAATTATATGGTCTGACCAGGGGATGACGCTTCTCTTTAGATCTTAATGTCCACAAATCATGACAGAATATTTTAGTACAAAGATTGATGTTTAAAAAGGAATTGTAGGGGACCAGCCAAGGGCCCATCAAGGAAAGTGGGGAAATTTTGAATGTCTGCTACTGTAATTTAACCAAACTAAAGT